TCTGATGTCAATTTTACTAGACATTTTTAAATAATTCACCATAAGTGTAGAAAATGCTTTTCATCAGAACTTTCTAATTTATTAGACAATGTTTGTTTTTTAATTGCTGCATTTACCCCTTTTCTATTCAATAAATTAATTAGATTATTTACATTTAAGCTTACACATGAACCACACCTTGAAACACACACATCACAATTTACTTACATTGTTTTAATTGTAGTAAGTCTTAATAATAATAATAAAAATATAAAATAATAAATTGTAAAAAGATACAAAATCCCTTAAAATATGTTAAAGAACATGTATTTAGAGGGTAAAGCTTTATTGTTATTATAGTATAAATATTTAACGTATCTTTAAAGGGTTAAAATTATTCTAAAATCGTTAGCTGGGTCAATAGGTCTACATGTGTTCAGTGAGCTCTATTTTATGCAATAATAGACAAGTTAAAATGCTTTTTGTACTCATAATTGTAAGTTATGCGTCTATTAGGGCTCCACAATTTATCGTTTGAGCATCGATATCAAGTGCTTCTGCAATAGTCACATCGCAACATATGCAATGTTAAGTTGGGATCATTGATCAGACCAGAAAGCACAGGTCAACACAGATTTGTGGAAACACTGCAGAATGGAATCATAATAGAGTGAAAGTTTATCATTCGCATGTGTTTAAAGGCTTGTGACTGTGTCAGCATTTGAAGAGAGTTTAAAGCATTTTAAAAGTTTAAAAGGATTGATTTTATTTAATTATTTATATGATGAAGACTATACAGTGCTATTTTATACTTTAATTACTTTTGGATTATTCAATTTCTGTGCCGGAATACTGCTGCTGTCTCCAGCAAACTGTAAAGCACGTTTTATTTCACTTATTTGCTCTGTTGTGTTTATAACTGTATTGTTTTATTATATAGCCTATGTATATACTGTAATAAATTACATAAAATTATATATATATATATATATATATATATATATATATATATATATATATATATATATATATATATATATATATATATATATATATATAAATTTCAATCCCCTACAAAGTCATCCCATGTAATGACAAGTAGAGCTATTTTAGTTATTGTAGAGGAAAAAAATATTGCAATGTTACATTTTATCCCATATTGTGCAGCCTTTCTTCTATACAGAAATTGACTGTCAGAAATAAACCTCACAAAATACCAAATCATGAAAAGGATTTACTGAAATAAAAAGGCATAACTATGAAGGTAATTCAGTTGCGAAACTCGAGAGCTTGCAAATGTAAATGTGAGCACTTGGGATAATAATATTTGTATGTGTAGGTTGAAATGTACACTTACAGCTCTGATGTGAACAGCTGAAATCCTCGATTTGCACACACACACAACAATCCACACACTTGTGTTTTAAATTCGAAGTTGCAGATTAATAGTTGTGTATTTGTAAAATGTCATTCACAAATACAAAGTGACAGACACACGTGTGCACGGCAAATTTGACTGCATCTTCGCTCTACAACCACAGGTCGGCACTCACAACCTCTCAGATTCGTCAGTACAACTACAAATCTCCCGCGCTCTGACTTTTGCTACACATCTCCCGCGATCTCTGTAGCAGAACTCATCTGTGCACTCGCAGATGCAGAGTCGTGAGCAGCGCGGGGCGGGGGAGGGGCGGGGCTGGTGTAAAGCTGTTTCATTGGCTGATGCCTGACCAATGAACAATGCCAGCAGCCAACAGGACTGAGGTGCAAAATAATCATTTCCCACGATTATTTTATTATTTAGGGCTTATTTAAACTCTTTTCTGAAGAGATTCTTGTTAAAAATAATACATTCTGTGGAAATGTACATACCAGTAAAAGAGCAGCAAAGCCAGTTTATTGGCTAGAGCCAGCCAATGAGATGGGGCGTTTCTGTTTGTCAGGACACAGGGCAGCTCACGTTGTTGGAGGCCTCGAGCAATCAGAGGGTAAGTTATGATTTTTAATAATTATCTATATGTTCAATACTGTTAGCTAAGCTAAGGACTGTGCTGGGTGCTTCTCTTGTTTGTTTCTTATATAAGAAAACAGTTATGAGTTATCTAGGAGCTGCTTTCAATCATGGTATATGATTCTAAAGATACGATTCAACCCACATGAAATAAGAAGTTGTAATAGCATTTATAGTAAACAATATTACGTTTTTGAACCATACTAACTATAGTAAACTGTATTATACTGTATATATTGCAGTATCTACAACTTTGTTAATGAATGCAACAGCACACTGTAGTATTAACTAGCATGAACTTTAATAAATTGAAGTATACTTACACACACACACACACACACACACACACACACACACACACACACACACACATTAATAGCAATTAAAAATAACACTAGGCGTTTCAGTTTCTTACAGATCATACCGGTTTTTGTTATTATAACCTGCATCATATCTATCTATCCATCTATCTATTTACATGTTTGTGTACAGTGTGTCCTTTATATCACTTTTTTAATTATGAACGTTACTAACTATAGGTTATTTCTCAGTTTCCTGTAAGGATGGAGTGACAGGAGAGATCAGCATGTTTCAAGTCGATGAGGAACTCAGAAGCTGCATAGCTTGAATAGGATGTTATTTATGCTAAAGATGACATGATGATCAAGCTCATCTACAAACACTTCAAAATAATTCAGATCATTCAAGAGGAAGCCGACTTTATTTGCTCTTTTTTCTTGCCAAGATGACTACAGATTTGAACAAAACACACACTCACCCACAAACACAACTTTTATTTTGATAATTGTTTAATGTAGTATTTTTACACTTTACTGTAAGGCAGGGGTGTCAAACTCAGTTCCTGAAGGGCCGTAATCCTTCACGTTTTTAGTTGCAACCTTGCTTCAACACACTTAAGTGAAAGTTTCAAACAAACCTGAAGGACTCAATTAGTTTGATCAGGTGTGTTTAATTAGGGTTAGAACTAAACTTTGCAAAGCTGCAGCCCTCCAGGAACTGAGTTTGACACCTGTTCTGTAAGGGAATGTAATTTGTCAAATAAAATTTACAGTCCAAATAAGTGCAGTGCAAATGTCTAGTTACTTGTATTGAAATATTTCAGGGTTTTTCCTTGTTCATAATGAGATGGAGGTGGTAAATCCAACTTCATCATTACCCATCAAATGTTATCTCCTCTTTAATACTTTGCTCAAGCCTTAACTAATGGTCAGAAAGCAAGCCATTGTGTAAAGCTGGTTGATGCTCGCTGTAATAGAGAGAGATGATGACTGTTCAGCTTATGTTGCTTAACCCTGCAGATGAGATGCTCAAAGTGGACCCTCAGCCGAGCGATGGACACTGTCTCCCTCACCTAGTTGCTCTTCCTTTGAACACACATATCATGTTGAAGGATGCAAGTTGTGGACCTAAATCAGATGTAATGCATGTAGATGTAAAAATTAGAAAGAAATGAAACTGCTTTAAAATGTATTAGGTTTTACATATAAATACGTGTTCTTAACAGATTTGTTTCAACTTGATATTTGCATAATAAATGGCATTAGAATGTTTAGTTTTAAACAGATAGCTATATTTCAATTTTTTCAAATTTAAGCTATATATATATATATATATATATATATATATATATATATATATATACATACATACATACATACAAGTATACTTCAATTTATTAAAGTTCATGCTAGTTAATACTACAGTGTGCTGTTGCATTCATTAACAAAGTTGTAGATACTGCAATATATACTGTATAATACAGTTTACTATAGTTAGTATGGTTCAAAAACGTACTATTATTTGCTATAAATACTATTACAACTTCTTATTTCATGTGGGTTGAATCGTATCTTTAGAATCATATACCATGATTGAAAGCAGCTCCTAGATAACTCATAACTGTTTTCTTATATAAGAAACAAACAAGAGAAGCACCCAGCACAGTCCTTAGCTTAGCTAACAGTATTGAACATATAGATAATTATTAAAAATCATAACTTACCCTCTGATTGCTCGAGGCCTCCAACAACGTGAGCTGCCCTGTGTCCTGACAAACAGAAACGCCCCATCTCATTGGCTGGCTCTAGCCAATAAACTGGCTTTGCTGCTCTTTTACTGGTATGTACATTTCCACAGAATGTATTATTTTTAACAAGAATCTCTTCAGAAAAGAGTTTAAATAAGCCCTAAATAATAAAATAATCGTGGGAAATGATTATTTTGCACCTCAGTCCTGTTGGCTGCTGGCATTGTTCATTGGTCAGGCATCAGCCAAGCCCGCCCCTCCCCCGCCCCGCGCTGCTCACGCCTCTGCATCTGCGAGTGCACAGATGAGTTCTGCTACAGAGATCGCGGGAGATGTGTAGCAAAAGTCAGAGCGCGGGAGATTTGTAGTTGTACTGACGAATCTGAGAGGTTGTGAGTGCCGACCTGTGGTTGTAGAGCGAAGATGCAGTCAAATTTGCCGTGCACACGTGTGTCTGTCACTTTGTATTTGTGAATGACATTTTACAAATACACAACTATTAATCTGCAACTTCGAATTTAAAACACAAGTGTGTGGATTGTTGTGTGTGTGTGCAAATCGAGGATTTCAGCTGTTCACATCAGAGCTGTAAGTGTACATTTCAACCTACACATACAAATATTATTATCACAAGTGCTCACATTTACATTTGCAAGCTCTCGAGTTTCCCAACTGAATTACCTTCATACATAACTTCCATGTTATAGTCTAACAAATGTAAAATGTGTTTCTTATCTGTGAACATGAATGTTTTTCTATTAGCTAACTTTAACAATATCAGTGCAGTGGTTTGACATTGAAAACACCGTTTTCAAAGGACCATGTAACATCTGTCCAACTTTTTAAGAAATTTAATGTAATGAAATAATCTGCTTGTTTTGGGATAATAGTTATTGTGAAAGCACTGTGCACATAAACTTCAATTGAATTGAACAAACTAACCTCACATGTGTTTACCTGCAGATTCGGTCCTCCATTTCTCATGCGAGAGGACAGATCAGTATCATGGGATCAGCTCCAGCAAAGCATCCTCAGCAAACTCTACTATCTCATGATCAACGGCTCACAGGCTCATGTAAGACTATACCACATTTCAACAACATTATCATGTAACTGATGGAGATTAGCTGGACATACATTACATGCAATAAAATAAAAACACAATAACAATTCAAAATTTGTTGGATTGTAAAGTTCCTCAAAAACATCCTCCTCCTTTCTGTTGCTGTCTTGTGAAGGACACTTTTTGTTGATCATTTGCTATTTGCTGCCCCCTTCTGGTGATTTTTAGACACGCAAGCTGAAATACAACTGTTAAAGGGGATAGTTCACCAAAACATTTTAATTACATCATCATTTACTCTCCCTTATGTGAAAGAAGACATTTTGAAGAATGCTGATCGCTGGAACCCATTGATATCCATAGCAAAAATATATGGAAATCAATGGGTGCCAGCTATCAGCGTTTTTCAGAATATCTTCTTAATGTTCAACAGAAGAACCCAGATTAGTTTTGAACCAGTAAATGGTTAGCGAATTATGACAGATTTAAATATTTTTAGTTAACTATTTCTTCTTCTTCTTCTTCTTCTTCTTCTTATTATTATTATTATTATTATTATTATTATTGATAAAAATGCATTAAATTAATTATACTTCAGAATATATATTTTTAAAATTCAGAATGTTGGTCTTACATTTTTTTTTACAGATTTTCTTATGTGATTTGATGCATTTCTCAAATCAACTTTAACATTTGCAAGTGCCTCAAAATACCCCACAGTATTTGCATATTCGTACCCAGTAAGTTGACATAACATACAAACTGATGGCCTGGAGAAATAGATGTCATTCCCTCAAGGTGTGACAATTTTATGCATTATGTACTGTATAAAATAACTATACTGTATAGTTATAGTTATATATAATAACTATAGTATTGCTGTTTCGTAGTATATCCATTCTATAATATAAATTGCAAATAGCTAGTGGAAAGATTCTCATTTGTCTGATAGATGTCTAATAGACTTCTAAACATAGTCATCTTGGCTAAAACAAGGTTAGATTTGGGCTTAGTCGTCTAAGAATAGGCCAAAACTAGACTAGTCATCAAATACACAGAAATAAATAACTACACATATAAAGTCTGTCTAATCTGTCTATTTGACGACTAGTCTAGGTTTGGCCTATTCTAAGATGTCTATCACTGATAACCCAAATTTAACCTTGTTTTAGCCTAGCTGTCTATGTTTAGACGTCTATTAGATGTATATTATACACAACATTTTTGTTGCGAGCACACCTAAAGAAACAATAGATTTGTTGCCAAAAAAAAAAAAACACAGTGTCATGGTTTGCATAAAACAAACAAACAATCCTGCACACTATCAATACTTGCTAAAAGTTTTATTAGGTGGAAAAGTAGCTGTGTTTAATCAGGTTTAATCATTAATCAGTTTTAATGTTCAAAATAGAGGCAAAGAACAAAGCCTTGAGAAATTAATTCAAAGTGTTTTAATGCCATTCTAGTAGATTATCCTGCTTATCAACCAAATCACATGCTCAGACATTATTAGACATAATTAAAGTCACCAGCCAACTGCTGAATTTCATACACCAATCTGATTTTACTCACCTTTGGCACTTGGTGAGTGTAATTTCTTGCACGTTACAAGAAATGCACCATACAGTATAAAATATTGTGAAAGTTGTTGGATCACATACATGTTCTGTTTATGAAACTCCTATATGATTGAGCATGTTGTTGTTCTGCAAACATTCAGCTGCATCGTTTGACATAACCATTGCAAGGACATCATTAAGAACATGGGCTTGATTTAATCAGAAATATGCCTGCATCCTTGGACTATTCAAGTTCAAAATCTGTTTTGCCTCACGGTATTCTTCCATAATGTGTTTTTTCATGCACTTCTACTCAGGTCCTGACACAGTTTTTTTTTTTGCCATTAATCTGTCAGTTGAATGTTCATCTCTGAAGTACTACATTTTAACTAATTGATTATTGGGTAATATATTACTTTACATTCCCCTTTAATAGTAAAATTCAGGAAATTTGTATAAATTTAAGACATATTAATAGTTTGATAACGATGTTTAAAGCTAAAGATTTGTTTTAAATTGTATTACTAACTAGTTCATTTTGCTTTTAAAAAATCCTGAAAAGACCAGTGCAGGTGATGTTCTGAGGGGTTAGACAACAGAAAAACTATAGGATTTTTTATGAACATGACATAAAAGCCATAAGGAGTACTTTTTCAAATTTTAAGAGATTTGTGTGTGTTGAGCATCAGTTAAGACAACATTCGCTCCTGTCAGCTTTAATTGTGGGGGAAACTAGATAATTTTGTCAGCTAATTTCATTTTAATTCCTGGTTTAAAATAATTTTTGGGGTTGGAACAAAATCGGTTACGTAGAGCAAATATATTTGTAACAGGACAATAAATTACTTGCCGTTTATTTCTGCATTTTAACTTTGTTAACTATAAGATCATGGGTCTCCTCACGGTTTGTCTCATTTTTGTGGGCCAACTGACAACCGTTGTTTGCTCCCTTCTTTTTGTCCTCTGCTCTGCCGACCACGCCCACTCCTCCCTTTGCTCGCAGCACTGCATGCCCATCATGAAGAATTTTTTTGTTTTAGTTTAGAGGTAGACTTGAAGCGAACGAGAGGGGGGTTTCATGGCCTTTTAATAAAGAAGGGAACAGCAGACAACTCATTATAAACATTTGCTTTATTGTACTGTACCAGAGTATTCACAATTTGTTCAAAAGAATGAAAAATGCTTTTATGATGTGCACAAATAACTAGGTGATGTGGAAGAATCCGAAGGACTAAAATCAATTGAAGTAAAAACTGTTAAAAGAGACGGTTAAAGACAGTTTATTACAAATTATGTCTATTTAAAAGAAATTATGTTCTTTAATCAAAGAATACAGACTGCAAAAATGTTTCAAAGTCTCTTCATATATTTAATAATTTTTGTTTTATTTATATATTTAGTTTTATGTTATTTCATTTTTTAGATTTTTTATAATCTAATAATGTATAAACTTTTTTAAGACAGTATGTTGATAGATGCCTCACACACAACAATATTAAGATTTTCTTCTAATATTTCACACATCATGAACAGTACGCACACCACTGAGTTTTTCAAATAGCCCACTAACTTACCATAAATCACATGTTGCGTTTTATTTTATTTTCAGATTCACAATTTTATTGAATAAAGCCAGTGTACGTTAAGTATAGATGTTTACTCAAGCTTTAGACTTTGAAATATAAACGACTAATGATAAATGAGTTCTACTAAAAACTGGCCAAACGCATACATATGTTCTGTACAGTATGTAATGTTGAAAGTGTTAGGGAATCATGGAAGAATAAAATGAATGAAGTTTAAAGTGACTGCATCTTTTGTTTTTACATTTGGCTCCTGTCACCTGTGCTTATACTGTGAAAAGTCTGTCAGGATCATCATGTCTCTCTCTCATATCTGCACATCTGTTCTCCTTCTTCAGCTACTATGATCTCTGTTAACTATGATCTCTTCTATGATCTCTGTTATTTACTTAATAGACTTTGTATTATTAAGTTATTGCAATGCAGTTTGTATGCAAATCCGGTTGCATGTTGTTAAAAACATTGCATGTTTTTAACAAAAATCTACCAGTTACTTTTTTTAGGCAGTAGATTGTTGCATCCCTTGACTAAAATACAAAGCTGATATTTTAAATTGCAATGATGGTTTATTCAAGTGCCTCAAAATACCCCACAGTATTTGCATATCCGTTCCCAGTCAGTTGACATAACATACAAACTCAAAATAGACGTCATTCCCTCAAGGTGTGACAATTTTATGCATTATGTACTGTATAAAATAACTATATATAGTTATAGTTATATATAATAACTATAGTATTGCTGTTTCATTGTATATCCACTGTATAATATAAATTGCAAATAGCCAGTGGAAAGCTTCTCATTTGTCTGACAGATGTCTAATAGATGTCTAAACAGTCATCTTGGCTAAAACAAGGTTAAATTTGAGCTGTCAGTGAAAATATAATAGTCGTCTAAGAATAGGCCAAAACTAGACTAGTCAACAAATAAACAGAAATGAATGACTACACATATAAAGTCTGTCTAATCTGTCTATTTGACGACTAGTCTAGTTTTGCCCTATTCTAAGATGTCTATCACTGATAGCCCAAATTTAACCTTGTTTTAGCCTATAGCTGTCTATGTTTAGTTGTCTATTAGATGTATATTATACACAACATTTTTGTTACGAGCACACCTAAAGAAACAATAGATTGCACAAAAAAATAAATAAATCACAGTGTCATTGTGTGCATAACACAAACAAACAATCCTGCACACTATCAATACTTGCTAAAAGTTTTATTAGATGTAAAAATAGCTGTGTTTAATCAGCTTTAATCATTAATCAGTTTTGATGTTCTAAATAGAGGTAAAGAACAAAGCCTTGAGAAATTAATTCAAAGTGCTTAATGTCATTTAATGACTTCAAATCTTTTTTATTAGAATTTCAGGGTGTTGTTCAAGATTCGTGTTGTTGGAGGATCTGCATCTTATAGCTACTTAAATCCTCAAGACGGACGGCCGCTTTTCCACCCAGCAGTGGACAGGTAATATTACGTGTGCAGTCAGACAGATCAGTATACAAATCAATTTAATTTCAAATAGCTCATACTTTATATATGAACTCATACTTTATATATGAAACAGAGCTTTGGATATATGCAGTATTCTTCATTAGCCACACTTTATAGTCCATGCTGTATTTACAGGTATGGATATCCAATAGCTTACTGAATTAATTATATATTTTCATTTTTAATGTCAAATGCAACATTTGAGCAGCCGCCAATGTTTAAGGCTCTCACAGCATTTCACAGCCCTTAAGTGGTATTTACATCACACAAGGTTATATAATGACAACAGCCATAAAATATTGGCGTCTTTAGACGATGAAGATGACACTAATCTCATAATCATCTTAATGTCTTGTAACAAATCTTCTTTTGATGATTCTCTTGTTTATTTTCTCTGCTAAAGTTACACATTTTCTGGTTTTGTCATTTTGTAATATGTCATAGTGTTAAAATAGAGTCATCATTTTATTGCAACATTTGTGAGTAAAAATAAATCATTTTAGAACCAAGGCTAAAAAACATGGACAGGCTCTTTTTAATAAATTATATACCAACATAAAATCATGACTGAAAAATAGGGGTGTGTAAAATTTTAATTAAATTGATATCTTAACATTTTCCGAAAGATTTACCTATTTTTCTTAGTCTGTTTAGTGTGTTGTCATCTTAACTGGTACAAGCCTTTCATAAAAATGAATTGCCAATAGGTGACAGTAAATCCCTGACTTAAAAAGTGATTGATTGAAGTATCTATAACAGTGATTCATTCAAAACAGCTGATTCATTTAGAATCAAACCACTCGTTTTCATGTCAAGTGTTGCTATGAGAGGCATGTCCTCTTTCATAAATAACCGCAGATACACCAGGGTGAAGTCTACGGAGACCCGGAAAGGATGTGATGGTGGGGGAAAAATTTGGTGGAATTAAAAAAAACATTGGGTGGGAGAAAAAAAAACTGAGTGATAGGAAAACATATTACTAAGGTTTTTGTGTTCCCTCGCAAAGATTTTGCGTTCTCTCGCAAAACTGTTTCTCCACAAACACTACCTGTTCGCTTCATTCATGTAAACCACAGGTGTCAAACTCAGTTCCAAAAGGGCCGCAGCTCTGCACAGTTGTTCCAACCCAAATTAAACACACCTGATCAAACTAATTGAGTCCTTCAGGCTTGTTTGAAACCTACAGGTAAATGTGTTGGAGCAGGGTTGGAACTGAATTGAGTTTGACACCCCTGATGTAAACCCTCCCGTTTTTGCCGAAATTCTCCTGTATTTTACCATTCTATCCCACTTTCTTTACATTAAAGCTGTGCGTCGATCGTTGCCTTTCATAAGCAACCTCTGAACCAGTTAATGCATGTATAATCGCTGATTGAAAGACGCACTCCGAACAATGAACTGATCCCAGATCAGCTTCTGTACACGCCATTTAAAAGTGACACCTGTGTTATCAAACAAGTGAGCAGCAAATGAATCTCAAGTTTTGTTTTGTTTGATTACAGAGGTGTCTCTGTAAGAATGCACTGATCTATAATAAAGAATTCCATTAAACTGTTTGTGCTCATTTAAGAGAAAATTTGCCATTTAAAATAAAACATGTAGGACGGAGATGTTTACATATTATTTAGTGTATATCTCTGTCTGTTTAAACATACACCCAAATCCAAAAGTGTACTGCACTTTTGCTCCTCTGTAAATGGCATGTACAGAAGCTGATCTGGGATTAGTTTATTGTACAGAGCACATCTGTCAATCAGCGCTCATACAGGCATTCACTGGTTTATAGGTAGCAAATGAAAGGCAACGATCAACGCACAGCTTTAATGTAAAGAAAGTGAATGCAGACATTTTAATATAAATTTCACTGTGCTTTCAAGATTAAAAATTATATCACAAATATGGGACAATAATTAATGATAGGATGATAGTGGGATAGAATTGTAAAATACGGGAGAATTTCGGCAAAAATGGGAGGTTTACATGAATAAAGTGAACAGGAAGTGTTTGTGGAGAAACCGTTTTGCGAGATAACACAAAATATTCTTTCCTATCACTTTGTTAGAAGTGTTTCTGAAGTAAGGCTCATTAAAAACACTCTAAAACACAAAGGTGATCAATATTATTGCTAACTTGAATATGCGCACAACATTACCACATGAAGAAAAACAAATCGTTAAAGAAACAAGCATGAGCCCTGAGGCAGTTTTTAGCTTTACAGAGATTAGCTTTAGCAGTTTTTATGTTACAGAGATGCTCCTCACCTGGAACTTTTTGTGCATAGTATGGACCCTTTTTAAAAGACTGTGATGACACTTTTAACGGTCATCACAATAATAAATCCTTAAAAGAAAAATCCTTAAAAGTTTTTTATATTTAGATTTTTTTTTTTAAATATATCAACATTTATATGCATTTATGAATGTATTATATCATATTTGCATCATATTACAAAAACGAATTACCACTTATGTGAGGTGTTTCTAATGCAGCGTCTATAGAGAGTATATTTGACATTATTCCCACCTCTGGCTGCGTTATCTGTATTACAAATTTTTTTACTTTCTTTTTTTCGAAAGTCTTGATAACACCATCATGGAGTTTTTATTTTATTATTTCAGCAAATAGGGTTGTAAAAATATGTATTTGTTGTACTTTCCCCATACACTGTGCTCAAAGTTTACCCAACCATGACAACTTCTGCAACTAAAATGTGAAAAGGGTCTATAGCCCTGACTATAGAGTTAACATATCTGATTTGCATATGTGGACAAATAACTGTTGATTATTGCCAGTGCACATACTTACTTGAAAATCATCTAAGAAATTACGTACAGTTGCAAAACTCAATGACCTGGTACACCATAGCGAAACATTCACAACCATTAATACACACTTGTCTATAGGATTATAATAAGAGCTACATAAATTTGAATAAACCTAAAGGCTTTCTATTTTAAAATCTCCTGTTAAATTTGCTGTGCTATTTTGCAGAGAAAGGGAAAAGAAATTCAGATATTTTTAGAGCACAAATACAAACACATTCTTTCTTTAAAGGCTTTTAATTTTATATATACAGTGTCCAGCATAAATCAGCACACTGCATATCGATCTCTTTTTTTAAATTAATGTTTTCTATGGGATACTGTACCATAAGATACGCGATTATACGTTATGACTGTAACGCCTGGGTTCACATTGAAGAAGGCAATCTCAGGTTTATCAAAGCACATTTATTCATTTACAAGACTTACGGAGATGAACACAGGAAGAACATGGAGTGAAGACAGACATAACTAGTGAGAATATAGCAGACAATGGCTGAACTGAATACAAGGACTTAAATACACAATGAGGGTAATGACAATGATTGGAACTGGAAGAATGGAGCACATGGTGAAAAAAAATAAACACACGAGGAAGTCAGGTTGTGACAGTACCCCCTCCCCGCCTCCCCACTCCCCTTTAAAAGGCACACCACCGCACCTAAACGAAAGGAGGGGGTGAAGGGGAGTCTGTGGAGGAGGAACCAGGAGAGAGTGCATGGAAACAGGAGGAGGCCAGTGAGGAGTCACAGGATCCAGGAGGGGAGTTGGAGGGGATGGAATGGAGGAGGAGGCCAGGGAGGAGTTCTAGGAGGAAGGTGAGGCAGGAGGAGGACCCAAGACACAGCCAGGTGGATGGCCCAGGGTGGAGTCGATGGAGGGAGAAACCATGGAGGAGGAGTGGAGACTATGAAAACAAAACGAGGAGAAAACACGCCGTAAACTTTTTCTTTGGTCCGGTATTATGTAACTCTTGGGTTCACTTCGAAGAAGGCACGGGATCTCAGGATTATCTGAATAAGTATATTTATTTACAAGATTTACAGAGATAACCACAGAAAGACCATGGAGTGAAGCCAGACATAACTAGTGAGAGAATACCAGACAATGACTGAACTGAATACAAGGACTTAAATACACATGAGGGTAATGACAATGATTGGACACAGGAGTGAGACACAGGTGATAGCGAAGGACATAATGATGGCGGGAACTAGAACAAAGGAGCACATGGTGAAGAAAACAAACACACAAGGGAGTCAGGTTGTGACAATTTCAGCATCAAAACTGAAATTTAATTTAACAAAATAACCTAAGATCATGATGCAAAAATGTGTTCACCGCAATCATTATGTTAGGGAAAAACAATAAATAAATTTTTAATTAAGAAGAAAAATCAAGAGAACCATACACATTTAGTTAATAAATTAAAAATAAATTCATAGACATTTTGTAGTTTGTTATTTTGTTTATGTTTTGCAACTCCTCATTTCAATTTAATGTATTGTCATTCTATTCCTAAATATGTGAAGTGAGCAAACTGTTATTTTAATGAATATAACTTTTTTTATTGAAACGCAACAAAAATGTCTATATTAAAAATCTGTGAGAAAACATGTATTAACATGGTCTTTTTGGCTTGTCTTTTTTTTTTTTTTTTAATCTGGTCAGAGCTCTGAAACTGTGCGGATCAGGTGGACCACCACATGTGAAGCTCATTGTTGAATGGGAGCACAGAATCAAAGACTGGTAATGTAATCTGTCACTTCCTTGTGCGTACGTGCGATTCTCTCCGCACCTCTTTTTAAAGTACATAAAGCCAACAAAACATGCCTGATGGTCCAATGATCCGGGGTTACTATGTTTGTGTGCAGCCTGTTTGGTAATATCCAGGAGGAGGTGGTGAAGGACTCGGAAAGTGTTCGTGCTCAACAACAACACCACGTTCAGCAACACAGCTGCACCCTGGACGAGTGCTTTGAGCTCTACACCAAAGAGGAACAAGTAATACACAAAAAGCACACATCTGGCAGAATAATGCAGCCAAAAGCACAACCAAGCGTTAATTTATTGCAAGTGTGGAGTTGCTTTTATGAGATAGCTAGGTTACCATAAACTAGATGTGAATATGTATAACAGCTTTATTTCTAATTGTATGTATGTATGTATGTATGTATGTGTGTGTGTGTGTGTGTGTGTGTGTGTGTGTGTGTGTGTGTATATATATATATATATATATATATATAGTTGAAGTCATAATTATTAGCCTCTCTGAATTATTAACCCACCTGATTCTTTTTTTTCCCCCAATTTCTGTTTAACGGAGAATGGTTGGTGATATAAATGTCCTGTTTGTGGCCATTAGTTAGTATATGTGAGGGGGAAAATTTTCAAGATGGGTGGTTACCCTGGTGGATCCAACTTTTGTTTTTTCAATTGGAAGACATTTGACACATCAAACTTATTGGGGATTACATAACATAACTTTATTCTTTCATGAGTTATTTACGAGTTTCGGACCACTTAAAAATGTGTTCAATGTGCTGCCCATTGTGTTGGATTGTCAATTTCCCAAATTGTTTTTTTTTTCCTGTTGTGGCCAGGGGCAGACTGGGCAATTTCCTGCTGGGTCGACGTACTTTTTTCCGGGCTGATCATCTTCTTATGATCTGATCGGCCCATAAAAGACTTAGCAGACTATTATGTTTTTCTGCCTCAGTGATTAATGGTGCTGTGAGCTGTCACGCTCTAAAAGCAAGATGTTTCTTTTCTGGACAGAGTGGCCATGTGACATAATCTGCAGCCCATTGGTTCTTTTCTTTATTGACATTGGGCTGACCCAATCACAAACTTCCATGTTGGGCTCTGTGTAACGTAGGTGTGTATTTGTCAAAATAGTCGAGACTCGAGAGTCACGCCTGTTTCTCACGCGCGGGAGAGTAGGAGCGGCGAGCAACCTTTTGCTTCTCTGCACTTTGCAGCGTGCAGCGGGGCAAAGATCAATATATTCCTGTCTATTCTATCTAGTTACCTATCTGTCCATATAAATATACTTTTTTTTTACTTTTAGTCTGCACCACGGCCAGCGGCAACTTCCTCATATGCTGTTTCCCTAACCTGCAAGTCTTTATTTTACAAATGATAAAGAATGTCTGCTTTCACAAGCTCTATAAGGAGTGTTAGTCATGTATTTTAAGATGCACTCGGTCAGAAGACAATCGCATGACATATCATGACATTGTGTTTTTGATCGTCAGCATGATGTAGGCTTATAGTGACAATAATATTTATATAATATGGTTGTTGTAATGATATTTATACATGACCAAACTAGTGTGCAACTTAAGCAACTTTTTTTACATTTAGTTTTGTAGTTCGGGCCCTAACAAATATTTTTTGCATTTTTTAATTGTTTAAGTATATTTGATTGACAATGTAAAATCTTTTAGCTAAGTTTGATGTTTCATTGTTGAGTTAAAGAGTTTTTTAGGGTCTCTGACACATTGCTTTTATTATTTATCTTTATTTTATTAATCAACAATAACTGTGCGCGTCAGCAGGCAGTTTTTGTCATGTTCATTATTTATTAGGCTCCCTCAAAACACACAAAACACATAATAATATAAAAAATTAAGCTTTTTAATTTAATTTCCTATATATGGCTTTTGTGCTTTTATAGAATGGGAGTTGGTAAATATATTCAAGGGCGTGGGGTGATGGGGAGCATTTTAATTGATGTAGTGGCCCGATCTATCCCAAAATGCCAGGGCCGATTTTTTTGTCCCAGTCCAGCCTTGCAATTAGTGCAATTGTTTGTATTCAATACTTTATTATTATTATAATTTTTCATTTTCCATATCTGCAATGCCTGTATTTTGGCATTTTTTTGCAGTCTACTTAGAATCCAACATGGAAATCAATGTTTTCTTTATTGGCATTGATTGTTTTGAAATTCAAATAGCACAAAATGCCTGTCCTTTTATTTCTGGAATAAATATGGCCGTCAAGCCAGGATCTTGATGGTTTATTGTGGGTATGTTGTTTACATGAAGAAATCTGTATTACAAGTTAAACAAAAATTGTAATAATGATTTATATTTTGAATTTAAATAGTTTTTGTCTTGCGTTCACATTAATTTCACATTTGAATAGCCAAAATTACAAGTTTCAGTGTTTTAAAGGCGATTGATTAATTGACAGCACTAATATATATATATATATATATATATATATATATATATATATATATATATATACATTTAAATATTTCATATTATATAAACTTGTTTGCCAGTGTTGGGCTGCAGCTGAAAGGGCATCCGCTGTGTACAACATATGCTGGATAAGTGGGCGGTTCATTCTACTGTGGTGACCCCTGATTAATAAAGAGATTAAGCCAAAAAGAAAATGAATGTGTGAATGATTATATAAACTTGCTGATAATTTTAAATACAGTAGTTTCAATAGTGATAATAAAATACCAGTGTTTTTATATGAATTATACAATTTTTTGCAATTAGAAGGTATATTTGCATTCATATTGTTGTTGTTTTATTGTGGTTGTGTACAAAAACACATCTTAACAAGCTTGGTAAGAGTAATTCGCATATACTAAGTTTATAGGGTTGCATCCTGAAGTGTCTTTTTCTTCTGCATATAGATTTTGCAAGTGTTATGTGACTTATATTTTTTTTAAATCTGGAAATTCAAGCACTGGTCTTCCTCTTTTCCAGCACCTTTAATCATTTCACATACTGTAAATATGCATACCACCTGAGACCTGGATATTTTGTGAAACTATTTAGTGATGATTGTAAAATACTTTCCTTTGATTTTGAGCAACTATGAGAGACATTCACTCTCATTCCACAGGTGTTTTTTGTTTTTCTTTCTGATAGAGGACAAATACAGGAAAAGATTGACAATGGCAGAACGCACTGCGCTTTTTATAGTACAATGGAATGCAATCAACACAAGATTTACATGCAAATGGTGTTTAAGGACTTTAAGCCATCATCATTTGTGAAGAATTTTGAACTCATTACCTTGAAGTTGCAGTTTGAGGTTGTTGGAGCAGCAGGAATGAGCATGTTTCACTGAAACTCTTGCTTTCAAACTGGGTTTGCTCTCATTCATTTGACCTCATAAATCTCAAACCTGTCTTGTTTACACACATTGCAGAATTGATCACTGCTATTCAAATGTTTGTGTCAGTAAACGGTAATATTAAGAAATGGTTTTTGAACACAAAATCAATTAGATCAATTTGTGAAGAATTGATTGACAGCTATGCCCAGCAAACAATGTTGTGTTTAATAGACATCTAATAGACATCTAAATGTAGACAGCTTGGCTAAGACAAGGCTAAACTTGGGCTGTGAGTGAAAATCTTATAGACATCTAAGAATAGGTCAAACCTAGACGAGTGGTCAAATAGACAGATTAGACAGACTATATATGTGTAGTCATTCATTTCTGTTTATTTGTTAACTAGTCTTGTTTTGGCCTGTTTTAGACGTCTGTTAGATTTTCACTGACAATCGAAATTAAATTTTTATGTTTAGACGTCTATTTGACATCTTTTAAAAACAGAAAAAATGCTTGCTGGGTGACATTACAAAAAAGAAATGTTAAAGTATAGAAAATATCCATTAAAATAGAAAATAGTGATACTTTAGAATATTGAATATGATTTTAATATTGTCTGTTTTTGATATTTAAAACAAATTTAATCATGGTACTATGCAGAAAATACATCCAGAACATAAACAATCTTAATTAAAAACAAACAAATATACAATAAGTGTCATAGTCTAATGATAGAGGACAATGTTTCAATGCAGTGTTTCTTAACCATGTTCCTGAAGGACCACCAACACTGCTTGTTTTGAATGTCTCCTTTGTCCTTTCAGTCTCTGCTAATGAGCTGATAATCTAAATCAGGTGTGTTTGGTTAAAGAGACATGAAAAATGTGCAGAACTGGTGGTCCTCTAGGAACGTGGTTGAGAAACAATGTTATAATGTAGACATTTTAATGAAAAACACAATATGGACTTACTGTAGCACACATGAAGTCCACATTTTTTTCGTATTCACAACTGACAAATTTGTCAAGTACACAAACTTTGCATACTGAGTCTGATGTGTATTAATTAGTCCTTTCCCAAAAAACACAAAACATTTCTGACTCAATTTAAGCAGTGATTTGTTTTTGTAGACTTTGTTTTCCTCGCTCTCTTTCAAAATAGAAAAAGAAAGAGGAATAAATAACTGCATGGAAAAGAAGGAGAGTTGACCTTCTCATCAAAGAGCTGCGTCGGATTATCATTCATTCATTTTTCTTCGGCTTAGTTCCTTATTTATCATGGGTCGCCACAGCAGAATGAACCGTCAACTATTCTAGCATATGTTTTATGCAGCGGATGGACTTCCTGCTGCAACCCAGTGCTTTGAAACACTCATACACTCACATTCATACTCACATTCGTAACATTCGGGGAAAATAGAGGACATTGAGGGAACCCTGCATTAGATTATCTTGAAATGCCATTGTTTTTGTAGAAATCTTTAAAATTTTGATATTTTGCATGATACTTTAGCCACATAACACAAATTGCTGTCCAGTATACGGTAATCTACAGCAGTGGTTCAAAATTCACACTCTCTGTGTCATAAAGTGGTCTATGCTCCAGGCTTAAGTGCATTTTGCCTTTGGCTTGTATGGAAGGTCTGAACTGCCAAAACACCTCTTAAAGAGCTTTTTTGGATGTGAAAATGGAAAAAATCAAACCTGATCAGAATTTTTTTTATGACTGACAAAAGTTTTAGAGGTAGTGTGTCAATACGATTGACAGCCTAAGTTGAAATGGATTTTTTTGTGGTGCGAAAATTTCAAAGAACATTTTGTATTCACTGTGCAATAACCTTAAGTCTTGAAAATGTGGTGTTCATGTACTTCTCCTCAGGTCACCTTAGATGTAGGTGACTTTTTTCCTCAATAGAACATTAAAGAAGATTATTTTTTGTGGTCCCTTTGTGATTTGTAAATTGCTAGCTAACAGCTACTGGTACGAATCTTTGAGATTTAGAAAACACACATACTGGCAAAACAAAATTATTACCCATGGCTCCTGGTGACAAATTGAGGTCTTATGAAGCGAAAGGATTAGACTGTGCAAAAATCATTATTTACAGCGTTTAATCCATAGCCTCAGCAAACGGTCTCCAATGAGCTCCACATGAGCTTCCTGTCACTTATTAATGATAAAGTTCAGTGTCTTGCACAGATCTTTTTGCTTCATGTATAAGACCTCAGTGTATAATCAGGAGCCACACGTGTTAATTCAGTTTTGCTTGTATGATTTTTTATGTACTCTCTTAATACTGCTAGCCATTGACATTCTTTTAAAGGACCCCAATGAGTAAAATCATCTTTTGTAAGCTGTTTGATCAGAACTGTGTCTAGGTATAGTGTGTCCAAAGTTATATTGGAGTGATTTAAAGACAAAAAGTACTTCCTAATGTAAAAATAGTATCCAAATCCCTACAATATTGACGCTCACCGCAACATGATGTAAGAGTGCAGTTTTCACCCCCACCGAATTGATTGACAGCCGCAGATTAACATGACTTAGCGTGGCAGAAAGGCTTGAATTAACTGCACAACAAATACATCAAATAATCATTGGGAAATTCCCTACTGTATAGTATCTCTCACAAACATTAAGTGAGATATGCTTCCTTCATGTCTGTCACTGTGCTATTTATCTGAGGCAGCCGAGGTGGAGATTGAAACACACTCTGACGAGCATGTGGAAATGGTGTGCGGGGAGAACTAGCATTAAAGGCACAGGCTCTTACAAAAGACTTCTCTTAAAACTTGAAAAAGGGGTAAAATAGGTTCCCTTTAACAGATTGTCAAGAACCACAGTTTTAGCTAAAAATCTAATTTTATGTAATACTGCAAAAAAATATATATTACCTGCATCTTGGATGGCCTAAGACAGACTCTTTTATCCACAATTTTAGTTTTTGTTCAAGCTATCGTCTTAATTTAAGTCAACAGGACTCAGAAAATATATCATTGAAGTTTGTCCTAATTTTTATTTTCACTTGTCTTCATCCAGCTGGCCCCCGATGATGCGTGGAAGTGTCCTCACTGTAAGCAGCTTCAGCAGGGCACGGTGCAGATGAGCTTATGGACGCTACCAGACATCCTAATCCTCCACCTCAAACGCTTCCGGCAGGTGGGAGAGCGCAGAAACAAGCTCTCCACTCTCGTCCACTTCCCCCTAACAGGCCTCGATATGGGCCGCCACATGGTCCAGAGAACCAGCTGTGCCCGAGCGCCACCTGGCTGGAATAAGCAGGCCCATCGCAGGCCTGAAGCTAGCAGATATGCAACGGACGTCCTGTACGACCTGTACGCTGTGTGTAACCATCACGGAGGCATGCATGGAGGACACTACACAGGTGTGTGAACGTTATCAGTCAAAAGTGGTCTAAAGCAATGAACAATATTAATACTTAAGGAAAGTCATTACTTTTTCATGCTGTGGTCAGTTTGGGACTGTTTACTTTTAGGAAATCTTCTTTCAAACTAAAAGCTAGAAAGCATCCAAAATAAAGATTTTAATTTTGATTTTACTATGTTTTAGACATCATGGCTTATAGATTAAAATATGCACAACATATCTATCTTCTCTGTGTGTCTTTTCATAGTTATTAGACTTTATGTATGTTAGGATCGTTTGGGTTTTTACCAAAGTCAATTTCATGTCAACAGCTCCTTTAGAAATATATTTCCTATAAAAATTATGACGTGTTCAATATGTTTTTTACCCACTGTATGTATATGTGTTTAGGTGTATTGATTGATTGATTGATTTGATTCGATTGACTGACTGATTGACCAATTGACTGATTGATTGATTGATTGATTGATTGATTGATTGATTGATTGATTGATTGCTGTGTGGCAATCTACAAGTATCTAAACTATTCCAGCCTCTTCAGCTGTGTGTATCACTCTAAGTAGAGGACTATACTCACTATAGTTTGACAAATACTTCATCTGTTGAACCAGATAAAGTACTTTTGAGACCTTTCATAGTTTTGTAGAATAGTTTAGATTGCAAATATGCATTTTATTTACAAGGATAGTGTCTCTTTGAAAGTGCGTTCTAATTATTTTGAAGATGGCACTTCCTGTGCATCAGCGGCTGTTCAGCCTCTCATTGCCAACCAAAAGTACATTTTCATTGTTGCACATGGTGCAATTTCTGCTGGATTGTGGAATCACGATGATGAAAGGACACTTGAAAGTTCTTCAGAAATCAGCCATCCCATCTAGATATGGGAAGATTAGGACAGGACACACATTTCAGAGAAGTAATGACCCCAAACATTTGTCACAATTCTGCTCCTGCTATTTTGAGCTGGAGGCTTGTGTCAGATTGTGTAAAGAGTTGGTCTGGTCACTTCAGTCCATCACCAGGGAGTTAAAAGGAAAAGAAACTTTGAAAAAGCACCCAAATGGCACAAGACAGCTAATGTTCACTCAGGAGAAATACCGCAGCCTCGTTTCTTCTCCTCAGGCTGCTGGACAGAACTGCCAGAATTTGCTAGAAATAGAAGTTGTCACTGAAGCTTTGAAGCTGAAATAAAGTTATTCTTGAAGCACAAGCTAAAATACTAACTTTTACATGAGAATGATGAACTAATTTTTAGACTGCTAATCAGATTTTTTAATCTTTAAGTTGACATTGCAGGTGAAAAAGATTTTTAAAAATACAAATTATTATCACTATGCTGAACACCTGAACAGTAGATGAAGTCTAGTTCAAAATTATTGTTTACATTTTTTCTACATTAAAGTCAAAGGATTTTACAAAGTTTATTTTGTTTACCAGAAGAAAAAAAAATTAGAATAAAAGGCTTTTTATTGCACTGTGGTGATCCCTAATAAGGGACTAAGCCTATGGAAAATAAATGTTGTTAAACATACAGGCGTGCAACGCAGTGGCTCAGTGGTTAGCACTGTAGGCCTCACAGCAAGAAGGTTGCTTGTTCCAGTCCTGGCTGAGTCACTTGGCATTTCTCTATGGAGTTTGCATGTTCTCCCCGTGTTCGTTTGGGTTTCCTCAGGGTGTCTGGTTTCCCATACAATCCAAATACATGTGCCAGAAATGAATTAATTAAACTAAATGACCCTGATGGAAGTTTCCTTATTTTTTTATATTTCTTTCATCTCAGAGACATGCCATGTTGTGCATTGCCATACAGTACATAATCTATTTTTAAAAACACAAAAAAGAGTAGTAAACCCAATATAAATCTGGAATGTAATGGAAAGAATATGAAACTGGCTTTCCCAGCATGTTGTTGTTTCACAGGTAAGCCCTATCTCATACTCGATAGATGTATGTGGTGAGTATGACCTGTCAAACTATTTTTCCTGAGGGCCAGAACTGTTTTGGTGGTGCTTATGTGCTCACGATATAAGTCGAAGTGATCAACTAAGGTTACTTAGGTAACATTCGTTCCCTGAAGGAGGGAACAGAGACATTATGTCCTCCTGCCGCAGGAGCTGAATCCGCTTCTCGGTAGGTACAGCTCTTCAGTGAATAGACTAATGAGCTCCTCTCAAGATTTTTATTTTCCTAATTGTGAAGCGACTACACCTGTGAAAGCTGGGCTCACGGATTTCATATTCATTCCACTGCCGTTTTATACAAATTTACAAAATTTGACAAAACTGGTACAAATCTGGAAAATGTTCATAAATGAAGAATTAATATGTAAGCACAAAATCAACATGCATGTTTACTCACACGCACACACACACCTACTTGCATGTGCATGTGTGTGGGGCTGTTTTGTTTTTAGATTTCGGCACATTGAAATTGGCTGTTGTTTTGTTTTGTTCATTTTATATACTGTTTTATTTAAATATCATTACAAGTTCTAAAAATATAAATTGTTCTAAATAATCTATAAGACATATATAACCAAAATAAATGATAAAATATAAATAACTGAAATAAATAATATGTATCATTATTTGCTAAAGCAAGTAATTGAAAATTTATCAGACAAATATAAAATACTGGATAAAAAACTGGATGTATTTTAGAACATTAAAGGTCTGTTTTTTTTTTAAAAAATCTGTGATCTCCACTGGCTGAGTGCACTGCAATAATTTACATTTTTCCCCGCCATGTCTTTAAAAGATGAACATTTATTTTAAACCAGTATTTTCAATGGAGCTTCTGTGCTAGCCTGCCGATTCTGACGGGCACATGCGATTAAATGGCTTTTTGTCTCATTTTATGCTTGAGCAGCTTAATGATTGCCAAAGTCTATTCAACTGAATGTATTTTAATTACATTACAACATCGATGCTGTAAAAGGAACCATATCAAATGAAAAAAAGGCACATTAAACGTTCACCAGTGGTTTTTGAGTATGGGAAGAAACACTAGCTCGGCATATAGCCTATGATGGACATTTCTTCTACAACCTGCAGATGGCTGTACTCTATTGCTAAAATATCCAGATTTTTTTTTTCTTTACATTTACTATATATAATATAATATATAATATAAAAATTTCCTTAGGTAAATTCTCTGTAAAAGGAACCTGACTGTGATTTTTTTCCCTGTGCCTATTAATGGTGAATAGGCCTCAAACAAGAGAGGAAAATAGTAGAATGCTGATTGCAGTTTTTTTTTCTTACCTCAAATTGCCAAAGAAATTTGTATTCAATGTGTGTACGATATATACCTGAGTCTGAAGCAATGTATGCTGCATGCTAAATGTAATGAATCTTTGCTCTGAACAGCATACTGCAGGAACTCGGTGGACGGTCAGTGGTACACCTATGATGACAGCAGTGTTGAACCCTTGCAGGAGGGAGAAGTGTGCACTCGCGCTGCTTATATCCTCTTCTATCAGAGACGTGATGCCATCCCTTCTTGGTCAGCTAGCTGCTCGCGACAAGGTAACCACTCATTTCTGACATTCACTTGCATTTTATCAAAAGCAAAAAACAAAGCACATACTAAATTAGTAGAGAAGTACGAAACAAACAATAAGAGCTATTTTTTAACGGTCGAGGGGCAAAGTCTAAAGCGCATGGTGCACATGCGTTAATGGCGTGTCCGAATACATTTTACTATTTTAATGATGGAAATTGGTTCTTCACCCCGCACAATGTATAATAAGGTTGTGCATATTTTTTAATGACTTGTGGGTGTGTTTTGAGCATAACATGCATTAAACCAATCAAAATCTCATCTCCCATTCCCTTTAAGAGTCAGTTGTGTCCCACCATGGCGGATTTGCTATTTAAATACCTTAAAAGTCCTCAAAAGTAACTCAAAACTAAAGGTCGCAGGTTGGAACGGTTGTATAAAAAGTCTGGATTAACTTTCCACAAAGAAATGTTTACAGAACATGCTCATCATTATTAGGAAGCATTACTTAAAGCAAAATCTGACTATTATGCTAACAGAATAGAATCTAGTCAGGGTAACTCTAGATTACTCTTTTTCTGTAGTTAAAAAATCATTAAGTTTTCCTGACACGTCACTTTCTTGTTCAACTGAGTTGTGTAACCGCTTACTGTCTTTTTTTGAAACAAAAATTAAGAACATTCATCATCAATTACATTTAAATACTTCAGCCCCTGACCAAAATGTTTCTGAAATCATCACACATTTCTCTTTTGATACTTTCACCTTACCATCTACCGCTGAAATAGTTGGTCATATACGGAAATCTAAAACCACCAACTGCCTGCTTGATCCACTTTCTACGTGCTTAGTTAAGACCTGTCTTCCATCATTGTCCACACTGATTACTAACATTATTCACAAATCACTGGATTCTGGATCTGTCCAATCTTCACTTAAAACTGCTGTAATCACCCCAGTACTAAAAAAACCTGGAGCTGATTCATCCAATCTGGCCAACTATAGACCAATTTCCAGTTTGTCTCAAAAATACTGGAAAAATGTGTTGCGTTTCAACTCCATAATTATCTCTCTAGTAACAATTTGTTTGAGCTCTTCCAGTCTGGTTTTTGTCCTAACCACATTACTAATGATCTACTACTGGCAGCAGACTCTGGTTTACTGTCAATTCTTATTCTTCTGGACTTGAGTGCAGCCTTTGACACGGTTTCGCACGAGGTTCTTTTGAATAGGCTTGCTTCACTAGGGATCTCTGGCACCCCTCTTTTATGGTTTAAGTCATATCTCGCAGATCGTACTCAGTTTGTTCAAATGAAAGATTTTAAGTCAAGATTGCAGATTGTCACTACTGGTGTCCCACAGGGTTCTGTATTGGGTCCACTCCTGTTTATCATATATCTACTGCCTCTTGGTCACATTTTTAGCAAATACAACATACAATTTCACTGTTATGCTGACGACACTCAACACTACCTGTCCACCAAGCCCTCCTGTTCTTTTCCTCCTTCTGCTTCGAGCAGATGTTTAGCTGAAATAAAAATCTGGCTTTCAGCTAATTTTTTTAAATTAAACGTCGACAAAACTGAAGCTCTTCTCATCGGCACTAAAAGTGTTTTGGATAAAGCTGATAATTTCACTATAGACATTGATAACAGCACAATTTTTCCCTCTGTGCAGGTAAAGACTTTGGGTGTCATCTTGGATAGCACACTCTCATTTGAAGGTCACATCAATAATATTACACGTACTGCATATTACCACCTGCGTAACATCACTCGTCTCCGCCCTTCTCACAACCATTAACACAGCCATTCTTATCCACACATTAGTTACTTCACGTCTTGACTACTGTAATGCACTTCATTCTGGACTTCCTTCCAAACTCCATAAACTCCAACTGGTTCAGAACCATGCAGCTCGAGTCATCTCTAGGACCTCATCTCACGAGCATGTCACACCACTCCTCTATCAGCTTAACTGGCTTCCAGTAAAGTATCATACTGATTTTAAAATATTACTTCTAACTTTCAAGGCACTTCATAATCTCGCTCCTCAATATCTCACTGAACTTCTCCATATCTACACCCCTTCTCGTACCCTTAGATCAGCCAACAACTCCACCTTGGTACCACCTCGCACTCCATTGAGCACAATGGGAGACAGATCTTTCAGCTCTATGGCTCCTCGGCTATGGAACTCACTTCCCCTAGATCTAAGGAGCAGTGATAGTCTTCACACTTTTAAATCCTGTCTTAAGACCCATCTTTTTAAGCAGGCTTTTACTTAACAATTTTTTTATCATGTTTTTATTATGTTCTTTTATATTCGCTATTGCGTTTTAACTTGTTTGGTCATTGATTGTTTTTAGTAATGTTTAATTTGTTTTAGCATGTCTGTTGATGCTTACTGTAAGGCGACCTTGGGTGTCTAGAAAGGCGCCATTTACAAATAAAATGAATTATTATTATTATAAAAGTTAAAACTGAATGCTTCACTAGCGAGAAAATAGTTAAATAGACCATCTCCAGCCATTATAAAGACTGAGCTTCCCCTATTTGGCCTGTTTACTTTCTCTTTCCTACTTTACTTTCGTGGAGTTAAGAAACTGTGTTGTACAATGTCCACTAAAGATCCATTAGCCTACATATTTAATTTTGTTTGTTAAGCGCAAAAATTTGTTTCAAAACTATTTCTAACTTCAGTTCTATATTCCAGCAAATTAATAAATATACAATAATAACGAAGTGTGATCAAAAACTCTTTATTATATTCAATTAATAATTAATTGTAAATTTTAATCATTTTATTCCTTAAATTTTTTTTAATATGTAAAGATATTTGTGTATTGCTGTACATCCTTTGTGTATTAAGCAATGTGTTAGAGTTTGGACCTGCATAGGCGCATAACTTACACCAGGGTGTTAAACTCAAGTCCTAGAGGGCCGCAGCCCTGCACAGTTTAGTTCCAAAACTGCTTCCACACACTTACCTTTAGGTTTCAAACAAGCCTGAAGGAAACCAGCCTGAAGGAATTAGTTTGATCAGGTGTGTTTAATTAGGTTTGGAACTAAACTGTGCAGGGCTGCAGCCCTCCAGTAATTGAGTTTGACATCCCTGACTTACACAATCTGCGCTGGACTTTAGACCAGCTTTAGTTGGTCAATGGTGCGGTCTATGTCAGTTTCTCAAAATAGCACGCCAACAATGCGCCTTAACATACCTTTTTAGACTGGAACACCCATGAGCCTACAAAATGGTACAAATGGATTTGTTATTTAAACAACGTGGAGTAAAACCTGAAAATTAGAGTTATGCTGGTCTGAAAATAGCAACAAATCACGCCAAAACGTCTTGCGCTTTGTTGCGCCGGGTGTATGATAGGGCCTTAAGAAATTTAGGATTGCAAAATATGCTGTTGACGTTGACATTGCTAGAATGTATGAAATTCAGGCTGTGTTAGTGACTATCTTTTATTTTTAATCATTTTATGTTATTTATTCCACATAAAAATGTTATTTAATTTATTTTGTGATGTTTTTATTATATATACATATTTTATTTAATATTTAAAAAGCATTTATTTTATGAAAGCAAAGAATTTTAACTTCTCTAAAGGGCAAATATTTATAGTATTATAACTTGTTTAATTTCAAAAACTTGACTTTACAAAGCAAATAAGTTGCTATTAGTGTAAGTATTTGGTTTTTGTTTGACTAAAAATAAGAAGGGTGTTGAGTTTTTTAAGTGCAAATATTTTATTCGTTTTTTTTATATATTTTATATTTTTCTGTCATTATTCAGCATTAATTATTCAGAATATTACTGTTTAAACTGCATTATAGATCAAATAATCACAGCCATGGTGACCATTAGAGACTTTCTTCAAAAGCATTAAAGAAATCTTTGTAAATAGCAAACTTTTGAACAGCAATCTACACACAGCAATGTTAAGCAATGTTGTGCAAGAGGCACAAAGGCACAACCAACCTCTGGGTGGCTCCTAGAGCTTTTCAACACGACTCGCTTCAACTTTTCGATGCACATCTTCAGAATCCAAATATATACACAGAAATGACACACATCAAATGATATGTATTCAACACCAGTCTAAAGTCTGTCTGATCACTGTGCTGCCACAACATAACCTTTCTAGAGGATCAGGAACAAAATGCGTATGAGAAGGAAGAGCTGCTGATTAGCCTCGGTGGGTTTAGACAGGAGGACTTTGAGTTGCTTGTCACAGGAGGCTGCGCACGCACACGTACACAAAACAACACAAACACACACAGAAAGAGAGACAAAGTTTATTTGCTTGCTTTTTCTGCTGCAGTGGCTCTGCGGTTTGCCTTGTTTCTCATCCCTTTTTCATCACTTCGCAAAATGATGCACTTTTCCCTACACCAAATAATGAATTACGTGAATAGTAGGAGAACCTTCTGTTAAATTGCAAACAATCAGTGAAGTGTTTTGAAAACAGGCACAATCAAGTGAAATTATTCTCCTCATCCATCAAAGATTAGCAGAGCATGAATAACCCCAAAACATTAAAATGAGTCTTTTCACATCAATATTAGAGACATTCTGAATATTACTGAACTGTAGGGAATACATAGACAAATTCATTTGGATGAACAAAACAAATTAGAGGCAGAATTAACATGTTTTTTTAAATGTACTGCTTTGCATTTTAAAATCATTTAATATGCAGCATCTATTGAAATGGGAGCTTATTATTATACATTTTTAATTATTTTCTTATTTCAATCAAACAAAGGTGACATATTATGTCTGTGTTGTTACCTGGAAACACTGGAATACCACAGACAGATTAGCATAAGTCTTTTTTTGTCCAAAATGGATGCTGCCATCATGCTGATACAAGATGAGGGGAAATATTGTAATCTATTTGAAAATATTAATATGTATTCAGTGTTTCTCACACATAGACTTTACTTGGGCTTACCACCTGGGCATATTAACGACCGCCCAAGTATATTTAGTGATTTTTTTTTTACTATTATCACTT